ATATGATTGGACATCCGCACCCTTAACCATTAGGTTGTTGTCGAAATTAGGAGTTTTGGGCTTAGGCTTTGGATGAATGATTTTTTGCTTTCCACTAAGCATGAAAGGGTGATGATTTTGAGGGCTGAGAAGTCACTATTTGACGTTTTTTTCGTAATTCGCAGGGTTAAGAGGTAACATGCATTTGGTTATTTAGCAGTCTAACTTAACAATTAGTGGTAGTCACGTCAAAATAAAGTTACATCACTTTTGATTTTATGTTCGACCACAAATGTAATAAACATGAGAAAGGAAATGTTTATTGCTTTATACATGAAGAAGCAGCATTCTAAATATTTAACTCACAAGTATAGTTGTTAATCTTAAGGGTAGGTCTATCGTAGGCCGCATTACGCTCTCTGAATACAAATTATTTAGTATACCAATTTAAGATTTATATGCGTACTCAGTCTATACTTCTATATAAAGAGAAAGGATTCGTATTTTTGTATGTAACGAATAAACTCAAAAACTACCAGACTTGTTTAAAAAAACTTTTTTTTTCTTACGTTTGATAAGCCAGCGCTTGACCACGATCCCACCTGGTGTTAGTGGAGATTTGGTCGAAAGATGATAGCTTATAAACGGTAGACTTTTACCGTTAATAAGCTACATTATTTTTTAGTAACGTAGCCATGGTCACGGGCAAAAGCTTATATTATAAAAAAAGATACGTCCTTACGAATTAAAACTTTACATGACATATTTCTTATGAAATAGATTTTTACTTACAAAAAAAAATAGCAAAGTTTTCAAAGCAAAACCAGACGGAAGGTTTTGCCTTATCAATTAAAATAATTTAATTTTCCTTATTATAATTTGCTATTATGTAAGCGGAAGGCAGAAAACATGGAAAATAGATTTTTGTCTTTGTCTTATCAATCATATAAAAACTATTAAACTTGTTAACAAGACTGGACAATATACGCGAAATCGTATGTAAAATTTACTTTTAAAAATATTTTTTGATATAATGGAGACTACAATATGTTTTATACAATTTTGACAACAGTCGAATACTTCGGTAAAAATATTTGTTTTGACAATTACAACTCTTTAACATTATGTTATCTGTAATCTTAATTAAATATTCCGAGAAAGATATATTAAAAGTATAAACAAGAAACCTCTTTAAGCGTAAGTCATTATCAGGTCCCGATGGCTAACGGCAATAAGCGAGAAACTTGGATAGGAAAAAGCGAAAAAATATCACGGTCCCTTGAATTCTCGCTCATCTAGGTGTGACTGCATGTCATGGGGAGGAAAGAGTTAGGAATTAACTGTCTCCTTTAGTCTCTTAGTTAAGGAGTCATCGCAATGATCACGATTCTTTAGTGTGCAAAAAAGATTTCTTATGTCTTGGTTACTTTGTTTGTAGTTTATAAAATGTGCCAAGCATTTGTATGATAAGAGGCAGGAAGAGGAAAATGTAGGTTTTAGTAAAGATTAGTGTATTAGTTATATTTTTACATAGATTTGTAGAGTTAAAGTAAATTGTTGGTCGCCCCTTATTGAGTTTTATTGAGTTTTTATTTTGAATAAAAATAGTTATTCAAAATTTAACTCTTATTCCCATGTTTTACGTTCATTCGTTTCCGCAATTTCCTAAAAAAAAGACTTCCAACGTTTTTGCTTCACGTTTTAATATAATGATTTAGTTTTTCCAGGAAAAACCCACTGAGACGTAATTAAACGATAACAAAAATAAAGAGAGCAACCAATAAATTTTATTTAAGCCTCTGATGGGCCATTCACAAATATTTTTATCAATATTCAATTTTTTTTCGAATCTTTTTATTATTTCCGATTTTTTTGCTCAACTTTTTACTTCTTCTTTACGACAGACGAATAGCCTATGGCCAAATTAAGCTTTCAAAATATTATAGTGCGTATGCTTAGAAAATGTGACGAATAATTGTTACAGGTGAAAACTCAACCGTCCGCCGGGTGACGAAACCCAAACAAGTGACATGAATTCGCTAGTGACATATCATTTTGTAAAGTTGTCGTAAAAACCATCACCTAGTGAACTTTCCTTCTTCTCATTGTGGCTTTTTATTTGGGAAAGTTTGCAGAACCTGATTGTTCTAGCGATCCAATGTATTGACATTTCAGAATAGCCCAAATATTATTTATCTATCGACAGTATCTGTTTACGATAACATAATGCTTCGATAAACTGTTCACAATTTTTTTTTTATTTATTTAGAACAACATGTGTTTAATCTGTTATTACTCATTTTCTGCTAATTTTCCTTACCTTGTTTTGTAGTTGAACTATACTTATCAAAATAGAAAACATTTAGAAACATTTTAGATAGGAACTTCGAATTTTTAAAGAAGTAAAGCATAATAGATATTATTGCACAAAAAGAATACCTTGGTTTTTTGGAGTTGACCCAAAACAATATTTTGTTTACCATTTCATAAGCTTTCAGGTTGCTAAACTATTATGAACCACTGTAATATTCAGCTTAAAAACATTTTAGTTTAATGGTCGTTTTAGCTATATCTCGTAATTGATGCTAATTTTTCGTTCCTTAAAGACTCTACATTCGCAGTTCATGTGGTATAATCATGTAGTAGGCGTAATTATTTGTAAGGTTATGATTTTATTTATAATAAAAAGAAAATATGTGGTAGAAACATATACTATTTCTATGGAAACGGAAAATGTCTGATATTTTTGAATATAAAAAACATCAAAGTATAAAGTTTATCATAATTTATGAACACTGACAATGATAAATTAATTAATTGATAAATTGATTAGTCGGTAGCTGATAGACGAATTAACATTATCGTTAAAAACGTGCCGGATTATTTCATGATTAGGAGTTTAGTCCTAATAATGAAGATTTTTAACGCAATTTTTCTTTTATACACAAGACTTAATGCTCCTGTTCATAATTTTAATAATTCATCTTAATGTTAGCCATATATATAACTATAAATGGAGTCAGGGCCGGCGTTAGTGTTGGGCGCGGTAAGACGACGCCCTGGGCGCTAGACGGAAAGGGGCGCCACAAGTCTGCGAATTACATTGTCTCACGTAGCATTGGTAACCCATCCAAAGGCAACACTAAATGAGGGTGCAGTGGAAATTTCGCCCAGGGCGCTATTAGCGCCAAAACCTTTACTTGATGGAGTGTTTCTTACAAGTTTGACCTTTAATTGTAAGACAAATTTTGAAATGTTATTAGTATGCTGGACGGAATTGTATCATCATCATAATCAGTTCACTATACATCCCCAACGAGGGGCTCGGAGCTTACCCTAAGTTAAGGGTGATTAAGCCATAGTCAACCACGCTGGCCAATTGCGGGTTGGAATGGTATACCAGTGTAAATTTCCCAATTTCAGGAAAAAGTAACGTACTGTTTTCAATTTTAATTATTGTGTTTATCACATTTCAACTCAAAACGTATTACATAAGGATTATGGCAACAGTAATTCTAAGATAAAATAATCATATTATTTTAATTCAAGATAACGTTATGTGAGCTTTTAGTCCTTTATTTTTGTTTTATTATAGTTAAAATGATTCATAATAGATAAATGGACGAATGATCCGTCACATCCTTAATGGCAACTGCAAAAAAAAATGAAAATTTAATTGTACGACATTCTTAGATAACATGGCCGATGCTATTCTAACAGTAGAATAAAATTACGAAGTGTAATTTTTTTTCTGTGCAGCCCTCGCCAGGTATCCTCAAAGGATTGTCGGTGGATCGACAACCAACATTTCTCAGTACCTATATATGTATAGTGTCTTGCCTTGCTGTACTCGCGGAGCGTTTAAACTTAAGAAAAGCTTGCAGAAAGCCAGCATCATCATAATTTTTAATACAGAATATGATTTCAATTTTATTTTACGTTTAACTTTTAGAATTTAGTTTTTATCATTTTTTAATTAGTTTTTGTTCAGCGGATATGAATTCGAAGACAATCCAATAAAAAAACAGACAATACAAATACGATTAAAAAAACTTTACAAGTAGCCTATGTGTTTTTCCAAATTATGTTCTACAACTATGCCAAATTTCAGCGAGATCCGTTGAGTCTTTCCGGAGATACCTTCAAACAAACACGCATCCGGATGGATACATGTTTGCGAATGCTTAAATGAATTTCTAAACATTCTCATTTATAATATTAGTAAGATAGGTAAATTATCGTTGCGATCTTTAGGGGAGGCCAATGCCCAGCAGTGGGGGTCTCATTGCTGAACAAGCAAGCAAAGTAAATTAGGCTTAACCCATCTATCCTCCCTGAAATATGTATAACCCCAAGGGGTAATAGATGTTCAAGTATTCCTCTTGTGAAAAATATAATATTCTGTATAAAGTAAATTTATTGTAAAATGTACTATCAGAAACATATATTTTATGAACGATAAACAATCTGATTCGGTAGCTGGTTGCTAAATTTTAGTTCTTACTGGGAATTTTTAGCTAGAAATTCGAATTTCTGTAAATCAAATTCGGATTTTTACCTTAATTCTTGATATTAAATAATATATTTAAAACTAATAATTTACTAAAATATATTATTAAAGGAGTCCCTTTAGGCAAGATACTGGCAGCGTTCTCCCTTTGGATAGCTAAACTAATTTTTTGTCCGAGGTAGCTGCCAGCTCTACGGTCCCGATGTCGATTAATTTTTTGGATATGTCCTTAAAAATATATTATATTATATAACTATATTATATAAAAAGCCTTAAAGCGCTAGCCTTTGTAATTAAATTACCTAGGAAGATTACCAATATGATTTGCAAGGAGAAGAAATTGATTTGATGGTACATAGAAAATAATTGAATTTATATAATTATTACATAACATAAAATTATCACAGATACAAAATTGACAATGATTAACATAAAGGTATTCACGGATGATTTAATCAATAATTCATTTTAGCGATTACGTTGTCTATTCAGTATCATATCATTTAGTTAATGTCATCAAATTCTGTATAAATATGAACATCATTTGGTAGATTATTTCAAAACGTTTGACAATGCGCATCACCCTGTTGTTGTTGGCCCTGGGCTTGGCTGTCGTCGCGGGTGAGAAAAAAATTAAAAATTACAGTTTAAAAAATTACTCTTGTTGAAAAATTAAAACAGTTTTATAAGAAAAAAAGCATAATTAATATAAATTTTGTTTTATATTACAGCTGTCCCCAGGAATCCTCAGAGGATTGTTGGTGGATCGACAACTAATATTTCACGGTATCCATTCGGTGCTGCCTTGCTGTACTCATGGGGTGGTTCAAACTTCAGGCAAGCTTGCGGTGGTACCATCTTGAATAACAGATCAATTTTGACCGCTGGACACTGCGTTTGGTAAGTTTGTAGTAAAACTTGTGTGTAAAATAGGTACTTATCCAGTTGAAAGTTACTCTATAATTGATTCCTTTGATTTGCAGGCGCGACTCTGCGAACCAATGGCGCATCCGTGTCGGATCCACTAACGCCAACAGCGGCGGTGTTGTTCACAACATTAACAGAATCATCATGCATCCCAATTACAACTCCCGCAATCTGGACAACGATATTGCTATCCTGCGATCCTCTTCCAACTTTGCATTCAACAATAACGTACGTGCTGGAAGTATTGCAGGCTCCAACTACAATCTTGCTGACAATCAAGCCGTTTGGGCTATCGGATGGGGCGCTATTGCTGTAAGTATGCCTATAATTCATTATTTAACAGTGGTAGAGCCTGCTTTAACATCTTCGCACGAATTGGCCCGGCTCGCCCGGTGAAATACCACGACCACACAGAAGACAGGCGTTAAGTGGAAGCTATTCCGCGTTTCGTCTGATGAGCGTGCGTCCCAGAGGCCTAATTTAGTCCTCTTTCCCTTCCCACCCTTTTCCTTATAAGGAAAGGATGGGAAGTGGAAAGGGACTTTCCGGATGAGAGGATGCATGGAAAGGGAAAATATTTTCTTTCTGTGCATCCTCTCCTCCGTCGATTAAAGGTAGGCAACGCAATTGCGTATGTCTATGGGCAACGGTCACTTCGCTATTTCAGCGATTTCAGTTGGCCGCTCGCACATTTGCCACCTTATGATATAAAAAAAAAAATTACTATGTATTGGCTCATAACTTAAGGAATTAATTTAATTTTTTTGGTTATAGTTCAAGGGACAAAGCTCTGAGCAGCTGCGCCATGTCCAAATCTGGACCGTCAACCAGAACGTATGCAGACAACGTTACGCTACCAGGGGATCAACTGTCACCGACAACATGTTGTGCTCTGGATGGCTCGATGTCGGCGGTCGCGACCAGTGCCAAGGTGACTCTGGCGGCCCTCTCATCCACAACAACGTTGTCGTCGGTGTATGCTCCTGGGGACACGAATGCGCTCTTGCCTATTTCCCTGGTGTTAATGCTCGTGTGTCGCGCTACACATCTTGGATCCAGTCTAATGCCTAATTTTCTTAATATATTGATTTGAAACACACAAAAATTCTTTAATTTCAATATGATGTTTTGTACCGTTGTGGAGTTATCAAGAGTACATGTAGATATATGTAGGTAAACGTGGGCTAAATAAATAGGCCACATCTAACATCTATAAATTTTAGCTGCATAGTGAAGCTTCATGGTGAGTACTGCTTGAAAACATCGATTAAAGTAAACGAAGTGATTAGGAATTGAAACAATAATGAATCGATTTCAGTTATTATGAAATATCTTTCTTCAGATTTTCCGGAATATCCATAACATGTTCTTTAAAACATACAAGAATTCACTGAGGCGTTATCATAACCACGTTCGATTGACTTGATTACAATTAATATGTAATCGTTTGAAAAAATGTTGGCAATTTTGCGGTTCTAACTTAAAAAAAATTATGCCCGTTAATAAAAGGTTAAGTTATTGGATTTTGATGCAGTGCCAAATGTGACATATTTAAATGCCTCACCTATAGTGGCTCTATATTTATGCTCTTCTAGTTGAATAGATATTTTTGAAGCCGAAAGTGTATTCATATTTAAGGAGTGGTATCTGCGTATACATTTTAATGCAGCTGACTGTACTATTGCCGTTCGATAGGATAATATTTTTCTGGTTTATCTTTCATGGTGAATATAATAGCCGCTTGACCGATTTCAAATATTTAGTAATGGAATAATTAGTTATCAGTGATATGGACAAATTAATGTTTGATAATAAAAAAATATTGATTTACGGATATTAAATACAAAGGCCTTAATACCAATACATTTGTTTTGAAATCGGTGTTAATTCACTTGACTTTAATAAAGAAGAATTCTCAGTTGTAAGCAAACATGTTTTAACTTCTGTTTGAGAATTTTAGGTAATAAAGATTAAACCAAAAACAATAACTAACATAAAAATTGCACATAACTGAGAAATTAAATTAAACTTAAGTTACCATTTATGGTTAATATGGGTAATCTAGTGATGCCCACACTAGGCAATGCATGTATCGTGGGCACCGAAATTCATATAGGTATATTCAGTCCACAAAATTACAAGAACAATTGCAGTAACAGATTCCACTTGTTCGAAATGTATGTATGTATGAAGTGTAGGCAGATGGAGGATCAACAGTAATCATCTCCATACAATGTTTCTAACAATAAGGTAGATACAACAATCTAAATTTTTGTATATAACACTATGTAATAGAATGTTTAAAGATTCGCTTGTACAATAAATGATTTACTGTGGGTTTCTGAGATCAAAAACTTTGTTTAAAACATATTGTGATCTCTGTTTTGTCAAAGATGACAGACAAGGATGACGATATATTTTATACAGATATATAGGTCTCAGAAGCCAACGGCTGAAGATAACCTACTGAATTTGCATATTTGTATATATATTCGATTGTCGCGAATTCATACAGAAAGTTCCTGTTCGATGGACATATAAAAATTACGCGGAGAAAGTTTAAAGAGAATGTGGTCAGTATAGTTTGAAGATTCTCCATTAGTTCGGCTACTCGAGCGTAAATACTCTTGAGGAATTTTCCCGCTTTAAACAAATGGAATTTTATAGAAAAAGGCTGACACGGACACGTAATAAAAAAAAGGACTGAATTGGAAAATTTTCAGCATTCAATTATAGATAGGTGGACATAGAAAAAGGACAGAGCTAAATTAGAACCGTTGTCTAAACAAAACAAGTTTAATGATTGTTATTTGGCTAGTTTAAAAAGTTATAATATCTTAGAATTATTTTTATCGGACCGTATCTTAAATTTCGCAACTAACTTATGTTATAAATATAAGGACAAACTGCGTTTAGTAAAAAGTTACTCATAGTTCGACAATGCGTACCAGCGTTCTGCTGTTGACGGTAGGCCTAGCTGTGGTGGCAGGTGAGAAAAATATCCAAAATAATATTTCCTGTTTATAAAAATAAATGGATTCATAAAGTTTACTGGAAACTATTTACTGTTACTGTTTAAATTTGTTTAGCAATTGTAAAAAGTTATGTTATTATTATAGCTGGTCCGAGGAATCCTCAAAGAATCGTTGGTGGATCAACAACCAACATTTCCCAGTATCCATATGGAGCTGCCTTGCTGTACTCATGGGGTGGTTCGACCTTCTGGCAAGCGTGTGGTGGAACCATCTTGAATAATAGATCTATCCTATCTGCTGCTCATTGTTTCATGTAAGTAACTAATAAAGAAATAATTTTAACAAAGGTGTATAAATTAAATCAATTATAACAGTTTGAATATTAATAACTGAATTTCTGTTACAGTGGGGACACAGCTAACATGTGGCGCATCCGTGTCGGATCAACTAACGCTAACAGCGGCGGTGTCGTCCACAACACTAACTCAATCATTAGACACCCCAACTACAACTCTCGTACTCAGGACAACGATATTGCTATCTTGAGGTCCTCTTCCAACTTCGGGTTCAACAACAATGTGCGCGCTGGAAGTATTGCAGGCTCCAACTACAACCTTCCAGACAACCAAGCTGTTTGGGCTATCGGATGGGGCGCAACGTCTGTAAGTGAATAATAATGTTGATTGCCTTCAGAAAATTAAAACAATAGTTAATCGTGGTGGTATCAGAGTAGCTCATCGTGAAGTGTACCATTTGGAAGCTTCTGCTTTTCCTGATCAAAGGGCCGTTCTTATTCAAAGCGAGTATATTTTAATTTAAAACAATGTAAGTAATCTTAAATTCTCTCTTTTATTTGCTAACAGTTTGAAGGTCCAGGCTCTGAGCAGCTGCGCCACGTACAAGTCTGGACCATCAACCAGAACACATGCAGAAATAATTACGCTACTAGAGGATCGTCGGCAGTCGCGACCAGTGCCAAGGCGACTCTGGCGGCCCTCTCATCCACAACAACGTTGTCGTCGGTGTATGCTCCTGGGGATACGAATGCGCTCTTGCAGACTTTCCCGGTGTTAATGCTCGTGTCTCACGGTACACATCTTGGATCCAGTCCAACGCTTAATTTTTTTTTATAAAATAAATTCGAAAAATATAATTTGATTTTTTATGTGCCCGTAACTTTGTCCGTGAGGAAGAGGTTCCTTTTCTAGCAAATATACATTAAAGTCTTGTATCACTAATTTGGTGCACTCTTGAGGGCTTTGGGTCGGTTGGTCACAATCACCCTGACATCTGATGACCCGGTATGAAATGGTTAAGCCCTAGCCCTAGCCCCTAAAGGCATTTTAAACTGCGTTTATTAGATCTACAGTTTTAGTTCTTTTCAAACAATATTCCATTAATATTATATCTCTGGATTATTTCAATTACCTTTAATCTCGATTACAAGTCTTGCCCAATCCAATTATTTTTAATCAAGATATGTTGCATAAAAAAGTATTTAAAACTTTACCAATATTTTATTTGTTCACTAAATGAGGCAAGTACTGATAAACGTGATGCAGCCATTTTTAATGTGTCAACGTACACCGTTAACATACTGTTTGTGTATGTGATCCAAACATAGTATATATACTAATAAACTTATATAAAAACGGCTAAACACTCACGTATTTTCGTCCGGTGGCGGCACCAACTAGTTTCGATAGGGATGGCGATATGATTTATACAGAGATTTTTGTCTCAGGAACCATCGGTTAATGATCTTAAAAGTCATAAAAGTGTTTCAGCAGTCGAAAAATGTAATTGCTGTCAATTTTATCACCTTGATAATTCATGAGATAAACTTAGTAACGTAATGATTGATGTCGTTTATTTTTCCGTCTCTTTTGTGAATTAATCTATCGAATCAATCATCTTCAGTAATAATTATGGTATTTCATATTTATTTGTTTAACAGCGCTAGAGCTAGCAACAACATTTTTGCACGAATGAACCGGCTTGTTTGGATATACCACGCAGAAGACACGCGTGTAGTGGAAGTAATTAAGTGTTTCCTCTGATATCTGTGTACCGGAAGCCTAATTATGGTCTTTTTGCCCTTCCTAGCGTTTTTTTTAAAGGAAGCGATGGGAAGGGAAGGCGGATTTTCCTTAGGAAAGGGTAATATTAAATTTATCTGCGTTCCTTCATTTGGCGATAAAAGGTTACCCATATTTTGGCGAATTAAGGTAGCCGCTTATTTGCGTGCTAACTTTTTCTATAAAAATACTAGGTGTCGCCCGCGATTCCGTCCGCGCGGGATTAAAAATAGATGTTGGCCGATTCTCAGACCTACCCAATATGCTCACAAAATCTCATGAGAATCGGTCAAGCCGTTTCGGAGGAGTATGGGAACGAAAATTGTGACACGAGAATTTTAAATAAAAGATAAAACCACCAGTGGGAGAGGTGCTAAAATAGTAAGATTTTTGTCTTAATGAATTCTGTTGTCGCCTTTCGCTAGTCAATACAAAACGATTGTCGTAAAATCAAATCACCAACACAACAATAAAATCAAGTATGTGCTTGATAATGACATAACTAAAGCTTTATCTTTTATGATGAGATATTAATTACGTAATTAGGTAAATATTAGATAAGTAAGAGCATAAATAAATTAGAAGTCCGTAGAAAACTCAATTCAGATCAAACGAGTATAGACAAAAAATACGGCTCTGCTTTTACACAACGAGCTTTTTTTGTCAGGAAATATTCGTTTCTTTCAAATAGGATGAGGGGGATGAGGTTTTTTTTGTGGAAACTAATGGTAAGATGCCAATTGGATGTGATATCGGATATCATCATCATCGAGTGGGGCTCAGAGCCTACCCTAACTAATGGATGACTAGGCCATAGTCAACCACGCTGGCCCAGTACGGGTTGGATGACTTCACACATATCTGTGAATTTCTTCGCAGATATGCGCAGGTTATATCCCGATGTTTTCCTGCACCGTAAGAACATCGGATAAATGTACATATGTAGATCGAATATCGAAAAACGCATTGGTACATGGCGGGATTTGAATCTATGTCTTGCAGACTACAAATCAAGGGTTTATACTACAAATCCACTGAACCACCAACGCTCTATCGACGCTATGTCGGATATCGATGTGTGCTATGTATAATTTGTGTCAATATTATCATTTCCGGTAATTAGATAGACTTTGTCGAATAATGCCAGATAGTTGCGTCTCTTTCATGAAGAATATTCCGAACCAATTCTCATAAGTAATGATTTTAGAATAGTTTAAGGTTATACGAAAAAGGTTGTAATATCTGAGACAAGGACCGGGGTTTGAGTGTGCTGAAAGATTGTTTCGCTTCTTACTAGACCATCTAGTAGAGTTCATCATCTATGCTATGTACTTACTTATCAAATGTGTCTTTTGGACAAAATACTAAACTTTTGCATCTAAGTAGCACTAAATAACGTCTGATTATAAAACGGAAGAGACAGAATGCCGGCTTAAATAATAAATAAAAAATTTCATTTTATCTTTGTAATATAGTAATCTTTAAAATAAACAAATTGATATCAGAATTGTACTATATCTTAATTAACGCTACAGTAGCTTTCGTATAAATATAAGGCACAGAATGACTACCGGTTAGTTGGTGCAAAACTTCTCAAGATTTCACAATGCGTCTTAGTCTTATACTGGTGGTGCTAGGCGTCGCCTTCGCGGCAGGTAAAGATGCGCTTATTAAATTCTAAATTATTTACTGTTTTATAATAAAAGAAAGATGAAAGATTAATGATTTATTTTCCGGATGCAGCTGTCCCCAGAAATCCACAAAGGATTGTTGGTGGATCAGTAACCACTATTACACAATATCCGTATGGCGCTGCCTTGTTGTTCTCTTGGACTGGTGTAAACTTCCGACAAAACTGCGGTGGAACCATCATCAACAACAGAGCTGTTCTCACTGCTGCCCACTGTACCGAGTAAGTTTTGTTAAGTACTATAAATAATCAGGGTTGCTTCTTAGCTTTTCTTCTTCTTCTTGAGGTGCCTCTGCAACTAACGAAGGTTGACGATCAGTTTTCAATATTTTCTTTTGTCTCTTGCGAGGCGAAATAGTTGGGCGGGACTCGCAACCCCTCTCCACTCTCGGATGTTTTGCAACCAGGATTTCTTTCTGCAACCAACGCTCCTTTTACCGGGAACTTTTCCCATCAAAATGAGCTTTTTTAGCTTTATTATTTTTTATTCTTAACCTTTATTTGATATTAATTTTATTTTTTTTTACTTCAGAAACGACCCACCAGCCAGATGGCGTGTGCGCGTTGGATCTACAAACGCCAACAGTGGCGGTGTCGTCCACAACACTCAACAAATCATCATGCATCCTAACTACAACAACCGTAACTACGACAATGATATTGCTATTTTGAGAATGTCCTCCAACTTCGCGTTCAACAACAACGTACGCGCTGGAAGTATTGCTGGTTCCAACTACAACCTTGGTGATAATCAACCTGTTTGGGCCATCGGATGGGGAGCTATTACTGTAAGTATGAACACATCTGTAGTATTCTTAGAGGTCACATCAAATTCTTAGAGACTTAATAGATTATGTCCTATACTTTGTTACCACGTAGAATCAACATGAAGACTTAATTATACTGAATCTAGCGTAGCCTAATTAATATCACGTAGAGTATGATATGATTTTAGTCATTTTTGGAAATACTCCTAAACTACAAATCCATTTTAATCGTTTAAATTGTTAACAAGCAATCACAGAATATTCCTGCCTTTGTGGCCAATATCTTCCACTATTTCATTACTTAAAAAATCTAATCACCGCTGGGGTAAAATTTGAGGTTTTTTATGTTCATTTTAATTTATACACTTGAAATTATAATGACATCTTTATTTTGTCAACAGTTCAGGGGACAGAGCTCAGAGCAGCTGCGCCATGTTCAAATCTGGACCGTCAACCAGAACGTATGCAGACAACGTTACGCTACCAGGCAATCGGCTATTACTGACAACATGTTGTGCTCCGGATGGCTCGATGTCGGCGGTCGCGACCAGTGCCAAGGCGACTCTGGCGGCCCCCTCATCCACAACAACGTTATCGTCGGTGTATGCTCCTGGGGACATGAATGTGCTCTTGCCTTCTTCCCTGGTGTTAATGCTCGTGTTTCGCGCTACACATCTTGGATCCAGTCCAACGCCTAAAGTTTTGCATCATGAATAAAGTGTATCAATCTGAAAGAATCTTTTAATTCAAAAGATAATTTAATTGAACTTATGTTGTTTTTCGTGGGTTCGAAACTTAGATTCAATATCTAACTATTATACGTTAAATTTGCTTGAACATTGTAACCAAATACATATGTCTCAATCTCGTATTACTTCTTCTCTATAATTCCAGAGTTAGAGCCAGGAACCACAGATTGCGTGTATTTTAAAAGAGTGCAAATATTTTAAAAATAGAAGCTATCATTTAAAAGCTAAAATATAAAGACAGACAAATTAAAGGATTTTTTCCTATTACTTTGTACATATATTTTCTAGATATTGAGAGTGTGAGCTGGTATTGAAAGTATAAATTATCATATCCGCTTATTATTTTGTACCTGGTCTATTTCCTAGACCATAATACACTGAAAATGAATATCATGATTGCACAACAATTTAATTCTAATTGATTCCAATAATCTTATCGTTTCCGGTTTTTAATGATGATAAAGCTAGTCGTCTCCATAAAATAATTTGGAAAATCCATTTTAATCTACGTATTATAGAATAAACGTATTAAAGCCATCGATGCAATTTAATCGAAAATTTGAAATTAAAAATAAAATATCCACTACTTCTTCTTAAACTAACTTATAAATACATATATTTATATACAAACTGGGTGAAAGAAGCAATTAAAATACGACTAAACTTATGAAATAATAACAAATAGTTCGTCTATTACTAATGAATTCTTTTTTTACTAGCCTTCAACCCTTTGTGGCATCCTGTCTCCTAAAGTAACAGTAACAAAAGTAATTCATATAAACGATTTCAAATTGTATAGTAATAGGTACATATTTTAGACAGAATCCTTTGGCGCGAATGACGTGCTTGCGTTACAAAGTCCAGTGTTAGAATGAATTGTGAGGGGACACAAACGTCGACCTTTAGTTAGGCTAGTGTTGGGTCAATACACTGCCACATTTCCGAATTTTTTTCCTAACAATATTAAGATTTATTTAGGTAGAGAATATTCACTCGACAATTTTAATTGTATGTCTCATTGAAAGCACATTCAAGAATTAAGGGTTACATTGATTCATAGGGAGTTTTAATTTATCTGGTTCATTACGCAATTATTATAAAAACTCTAAATTATCATGAAATATCTCTGATTACCCTATCTAAAATTACTTTATTAAGCTTTGTATAAATACAAATACAAGAAGGCTAACTGTCATTTGATACAAAGTTTCTCATAGGCCAACAATGCGAATTAGTCTTTTGTTGTTGGCACTAGGCCTGGCCGTCGCGACAGGTAAGACATTTTTGTTGTCTTTGAATTTGCTATGTCTTTGATCACTCATAGCACTAAGGAACAAATCAACATTAACATTGTCTTTTCTTAAATGCAATTGTGAAATATACCGATTATAAACTGTTCTACTAAAATATTCCAATTGAAACCTGGCGTAGCTTTTGTTTCTTGCTGATAGTCTTTTGTTTCGTGGTAGTGGATTAAGTATTTTAATTACTTGCACAGGTGCTCCTAAGAATTCCGAAAGGATTGTTGGTGGTTCAATAACTACTATATCAGAGTATCCATATGGCGCTGCTTTACTGTTTTCTTCGGTTGTCACAACTTTCTGGCAAGTTTGCGGTGGAACCATATTGAATAACAGAGCTATTCTTTCTGCTGCTCATTGTTTCTAGTAAGTATTACTATAAAAGATAAGAGAATTGGCGTAGGAAGGGAAAATACACTCTTTCTCTGTGTCCCCTTCTCCAACACTTAAAGATTGGCAACATCTTTGAAAATGCAGATGTTTATAGGCTGAGCCCTCTTCACTATTTCGGTGAATTTAGGTAACCGCTTGCACATTTACCACCGTATGATACAAAAAATCTGGAGTTGGCAAATATGGCTAGAACAGATTTCTTGGTTTATGATGCTTTTGGTACAAATTTACGTCTTCCTTCATGATTTTTTTACGTTCCGGTGTACTGTTTACTTATTTGATATCACAATGTAAATGTTCAATTCACCTACAACGTAGCATGTTTTCAATTATTCTCTTATGTACAGTTATACCTCGGCGATAAATTGGCGCATCCGTGTTGGCTCATCTTACGGCAACAGCGGAGGTGATGTCCATCTCACTAGCCAAATCATAATGCATCCCGAATACAACGACTTCACCTACGTTAATGATATCGCAATACTAAGAGCTTCTACTAACTTCGCGTTCAACAACGACGTGCAACCTGGAAGTATCGCGGGTCCTAATTACAATCTTATCGATAACCAAGTTGTTTGGGCTATCGGATGGGGTGCTACGACTGTTAGTATGAATACCTTTATTTATTTTATTCTGAGTCTTGCTTACATATTGTCATCAATTTTTGAATGCTAAGAGACTTGAATGCTGCAGTGTGCAAAGATAAAAAGCTAAATCTTTTAGTACTACAACAAGAGACAAGTTTTTTGGTTGAGAATCCTTTTTAAAATTCTCAAAAGTTTTTATCTTTTTCAACAGTTCAAAGGACCACGGTCTGAACAATTGCGTCACGTTCAAGTATGGACTGTAAACCAGGCTACATGTAGGCAACGTTATGCTGAAAGACGTGAGGTCACTGGTAACATGTTGTGCTCTGGATGGCTCGACGTCGGCGGTCGCGACCAGTGCCAAGGCGACTCTGGTGGTCCCCTCATCCATAACAACGTTGTCGTCGGTGTATGCTCCTGGGGATACGAATGTGCGCGCGCTGAATACCCTGGTGTTAATACTCGAGTTTCAAGCTATACACCTTGGATCCAGGCAAATGCCTAAAATTTTTGTATCACCAATAAACTGTTTAAAAAAAGAACATTACTTTAATACCTGTTCCTACGTTGTTGACCCGCTTTAAAAAGCCTGTCGGCGTCTTTCTATGGGGATTGTATAAAATCTTGCAAATTTTTGAAAAACAAAATTGACCTTATGTTCAGAAAATTAAAGAAAATTTTGTGATAGTGATATTAATAGAAAAATATATAGAAATGAAAATTAAAAGCCGGGGTAATCAATTTTAATAATTATTTTAGTACTTTTCACACCTTTTTCGTTTAAAAGGGATTGCAATGCAATTCGTATTTAGCTTTTAAAGCCCGAAGTATGTCTTAATGCTGCTTAAACGTTTTAAAAAATCCGTGAAAATTTCCACTTCTACTGTTTTTGATGTTAAATAAGTTACATTCACAATTTTTTAAGTATAATAATATTTAAATTAATCATGTATTAATATTATTTCAATATAAAAATGAATATCATTTTAATTATACCTTTATCGCTTCCGTTTCAAGTAGATAAACGTTGTATTTCCCACTAATTAATTAATGATTGAATTCTTATTAATCGTATCCGTATTGTTTTCCGTTTTTACATTGAGTGGGGTGGATCTGTTTGTGTATTTCGGCAGTGGAATCTTACGGTTCATTATTAAAACAAAAAGCTAATTTAGTGGCATAGTGAATCTTGATGTTGTATGGGTGTAACAAAAATTATACAATAGTGTGTTGTTGAAACATGGATGTATCCACATATTTTTTCTTTTTTATAACAGAAGGAGGCAAACGAGCAGCAGGAACACCGAGGTGTTCAACGACGCCCATGGACATCAGCAAATATAAATAAGCAACATATGGTCTAGGACAAATTTAAAGTTATTTCCTGTAGGTTCTGAATTTTTATCTCATTAGTAAGAGTTATCTTCAAATTAAATCAAAATCATATCTGATATCAAAATTTACGCCATAAACTATTGTATAAATGTAGGCTTCACAGAAGCTAACAGTCATTTGGTATAACGTTTTTCGGAATTTCACAATGCGCGTCAGCTTCATATTGTTGGCCTTAGGCCTGAGTGTCGTAGCAGGTGAGAAAAAATTTGTTTTAATGTCTACTACTACTCCGCTGGTGCAGCAACTGAAAGTCTTTATCTTATATATAAAATTCTCGTGTCACAATATTAGTTACCATATTCCTCCGAAACGGCTTGACCGATTCTCATGAAATTTTGTGAGTATATTGAGTAGGTCTGAGAATCAGTCAACATTTATTTTTAATCCCGCACGGACGGAGTCGCGGGCGCCAGCTAGTCTACTATATAGTATTAACTTTCTTATGTGTGTTAAAATATGAATTTAATTGATTAAATTTCCCAAATACGCCATGAATATAATATATTGCATCATTTAAGTAGTAGAAGTTAAAATAAGATTTTTAGTTGCAGCAAGTCAAAGGGATAATCAAAGAATAGTAGGTGGTACTGAGACCACTATTACACAGTATCCGTTTGGAGCTGCGCTGCTGATTACTTACGATGGTTCGACCTTTTGGCAGAACTGTGGTGGAACTATCTTGAATAATAGAGCAATCCTCTCGGCTGCTCATTGTTTCCTGTATGTATAACCAATTTTTTATATTGGAATAAGCTATTAATAATCTACCTAAACTACTTGAAACGTGTCTCTGATTCTGCCTTTGTGCCTTTAAAGTGTAATTCACGATGACCATAAGAAAGACGTAGAAAAGATGACAAGAATAGAAAAAATATCTTTAAAATGTTCAATCGTTTATGTGTCTTTTATTATATTTTCAGAAATCATGTCCCCAACACTTGGCGCATCCGTGTCGGGTCCACTTTCGCCAACAGTGGCGGCGTCGTTCACGGTATTAACACAATAATCATGCATCCCAACTACAATCCCCAAATTGAGGACAATGATATTTGTATTCTGCGTGCTTCTTCTGCTTTTGCTTTCAACAACAATGTGCGCGCTGCAAGTATTGCCGGTTCAAACTACAACCTTGCTGACAATCAAGTTGTTTGGGCAATCGGATGGGGTGCAACAGCTGTAAGTATAAGTTTACAATAGGGTAATATTTTTGGTTTAACTATAAAATGTTTTATTTGTAGCACTTATCGATGTTTTTCTATAGGAAATTGTAGCTTCACTTGGAATATGTAAATTTGTAAACATATCGCAATATTGTGCTCATTGATATTGTTATCAAAAGTTTTTTTTTGTGAACAGCTTAACGAGCCAAGCACTGAGGTACTTCGTCACGTCCAAATCTGGACAATCAACCAAACCATTTGCAGACAACGATATGCAACAAGAGGACTGTCAATCACGGACAACATGTTGTGCTCCGGATGGCTTGATGTCGGCGGTCGCGACCAGTGCCAACGCGACTCTGGAGGTCCCCTCATCCACAACAACGTTGTCGTCGGTGTATGCTCGTGGGGTCTTGGATGTGGCCATCCCAATTACCCTGGCGTAAATGCTCGTGTCTCACGCTACACTTCTTGGATTCAAGCAAACGCCTAGAAATATTGCATCATATTCCCCAATAATCATTTTGTATGTCTACGGTTGGACATAAATTATAATGGTTATCAATAAATTATCACAATACTTCGTAATACTTTTCTTCGCAATGTGTTTACCTAAAAGACGGTTATAATATATGTTATTGTATGAACAAATTAAATGGTGATTTTCTTAATCACCTGATTATATATGATATATTATGATATATACCTGATTCAATTTATTATAATATCCCAAAAAAACTGGACTGTTTGTAGCATATATTGTTAGCGATACTATATGTTGACCTGAAATGTAAGAACTATATACAATGGTTAACTTACCTAATTCATTGATGTTTAGGACACTTTAAAGATCGAAGTGGATTTGACTCACATTTGAACACATCTTTAGTTAAATCCATTATTAATATATGGTCAGAAGAAATAATCCACCGATATTTCTGGGAGTGACCGAGAGACCACCCAGAGTGTAACCATCTTATTAAGATTTAGAGAGGACATTTATGTACTTGACCCATATGAAAGTTAGTTTTGACAAGCTAAAAAGTAAATAAGTAAAGAAATTAGGTTGGCAATACGCTCGCTTCCCTAGGGTCAGTGACATTAAAAGTCTTTTAAAATGTATTTCATTTCGAACCACTGAAAACCAAAAGCTACCATCGCCACTGGAGAAATGTTGAAAGGAATGTTTTCATTAGGAGATCTACAATAAAATTGATTTTCAATTATTAATTTATTTCATCATCACCATCATCAGCTTACTATACGTCCCCACTGAGGAGTTCGGAGCCTACCCTATGTTAGGGGTGATTAGGCCATAGTCAACCACGCTGGCCAAGTGCGGGTTGGTTGACTTCACACATATGTATCTTTGAATTTCTTCTCAGATGTGCAGGTTGCATCACGATTTTCCTTCACCGTAAGAACGTCGGATAAATGTACATATGTAAATCAGAAATAGAAAAACACATTAGTACATGGCGGGATTCGAACCCGGGACCTGCAGATTGCAAGTCAAGTGCTTAACCCCTGAGCCACCGACGCTTTCTTAATTTATTTATTGTAGCAAAACGTAATTTATTATCTAAAACAAGTAACCGTGAGTCACCGAGACCAAAGGTCCCGATAAAACATATTTTTATATCTGTATTGACAAAGATCTTATATCTGTAATGACAGTTATGGCGTTATATTACATACAGAGATTTTAGTCTCAGAAACCAACAGTAACTGTGTCGATTAAAAAATGTAAAAAAGACCGTTTTGTCGAATAATAGCTAAGCATACCTTGTATTTGTAAGTAATCCAATCACAGTTTTGAGTTTTTTCAAATATTGCAAATGAATTAGAGACTAGTAGGGATTTCCAAAACTTCCACAAAAATGACGTATAATCAATATTAGTATAAATACGTAAAATACGACAGAAAGTATAATCTAATTCAAATTATAATTATCTTAAAATTAAGCGAAATGATTATCTGATTATTGTCGTATCGTATTTAACTTTTGTATAAATATGAGGGTTAGAGCGTCATTTGGTACAGTCTCTTCAAAGTTTCAACATGCAGTTTAGTGTTTTGCTGTTGGCCTTAGGCCTGGCCGTGGCCACAGGTACGTTATATATTTGATCTAGATTTACTATCGCGTGGTTTTTGTGTCCATATGTACTTCAAGTATGTCATCGGTTCCGACTTTCGACATCGAAATAACACTTCAATTGATATTGTATGTAATTTGAGGGATAATTTCTAACAAGTTTTACTGTCTAGTACAAATCACAGTAATTCATATTTCAATTCATAAGACTCAATATAGACGAAGCATAAATTGGCATTAAAAATAAGTAATGATCAACTTCCTACTATACAAAATGAATAAGAATAGGAAAATATGAGATTGTGACTAATGTATGGTATTATTGCAGCTGTCCCCAGAAATCCTCAAAGGATTGTTGGAGGATCGGTAACTACCATCGGACAGTACCCATTTGGAGCTTCCTTGCTGTATTCATGGGGTGGTACTACCTACTGGCAGGCTTGCGGTGGAAGCATCTTGAACAACAGAGCTATTCTCTCTGCTGCTCATTGTTTCCTGTAAGTATAAAATTCTGACAAAAATCTATACACATAAGAGTTTAAAAATAATTTGGTTAATACCTTGCTAATTTTTTTTTCAAAATTGCAGCCATGACACAGCCAATATGTGGCGCATCCGCGTCGGATCTACAAACGCCAACAGCGGTGGAGTAGTCCACAACACTAACAGAATCATCATGCATCCCAACTACGATCCCCGCAATGAGAACAACGATATTGCTATTTTGCGCTCTTCTACTAACTTCGCGTTCAACAACAATGTGCGCGCTGCAAGCATTGCGGGCTCCAACTACAACCTAGCTGATAACCAGGTTGTCTGGGCTATCGGATGGGGCGCTACTTCTGTAAGTACGAATTTATAAATCATATAAATTTGTTCAATGAGTCACAATAGATTTTTGGAACCCAAAAATCAAATTTTAAATTTTACTGACATACTGTTTTTGCGTAGTTTTCACCTTTCTAATGGTTTTCTTTAAATTCTGTTTTACGTCTTGTATTGCACAGTAAAATAAACATTCGGAACCCTTTCATGTGCCCTTGGAAACTACTCTCGCTTTGTACTTATCTGGGGTCTGTTTAATAATTCTTGTCCAATTTTTTACACAGTTCAAAGGACCAAGCTCTGAGCAACTACGTCACGTACAAGTCTGGACTGTCAACCAAAACACATGCAGGCAACGTTATGCCGCTAGACGTGTTGTCACCGAAAACATGTTGTGCTCCGGCTGGCTCGGCGTCGGCGGTCGCGACCAATGCCAAGGAGACTCTGGTGGTCCTCTCATCCACAACGGTGTTGTCGTCGGTGTATGCTCTTGGGGACACGAATGTGCTCTGGCTAACTACCCTGGTGTTAATGCGCGTGTCTCTCGCTACACCTCCTGGATCCAGTCTAATGCATAAGTTATTATATTTTCAAAAATAAATATGATTAAAACATGAAACAATTTTCTTTCTTTATATATCGACGAAAAACTTTCCTTTCAAATCCTTATAAAACTTATCTGAGCCAGAATTAGAAAGATTCCACTGGTAATGAGAAGTGTAAGAGATATAGCTAAAAATATAAAATCAATAATAATATTCTTTGTTATTAAATTATTCAAACTTTCGTGAGTTATTATATTAAACTGATATAGAAACGGCTAAACACTCACGTATGAAGCGAAATAATACCAGTACCACTCATCGGGATGAAGGGTCCCCGATGGGCTCGAAACTAATCGGTGCGGCCACCGGACGAATATACGTGAGTGCTTAGCCGTTTTTATATCAGTTTAATCTTCTTTGTGTAGTCATGCTGGAGATGTGATGAATCTTTATGATTTTGACCGAGAGAGCATAAATATCAGTCCCCGAAACTATGCTTGATAATCCCTACAAATATTCTACGATTATACTTTACAATAAAGCTGGTGTTCTTAGTGGTAGAAAACTATGTTTATGTATTAAAAATACACTTTAAAGGTTACCATTTTCGGTCCCCTTATCTTTACAAATATCTTTTAAAGGACATGTGTAATTCAAAGTTACAAAATTTTGAAAAAAGAATTATATATCGTTTCCAATAATTATTCTGAAGGTAAAACTGAAAAGTACAGACGCTTACGAGTATATGGGGATAAAAAATATTTATAAGCATTCAATAGCGCTTTATCAAAAAATGACCGGAAATATTTTACTTATTATAATCCAATAAAGCCGTTTATCTCAACCTATTTATCTTCCTTAGAATATCACTGGATTATAAGTTTCTGAAAAATACTCTATTTGCTTCCTGTCTTATCAATAACGACTACATATCTTACGAACAATGGACCCTTCTAAAATAAAATGTACGATTTCTTTTTTGTTTCCAAATGTATCTTATAATAATTACAGTAACTTTAATGAAAATGTAAAACGTTTCTTTCCAAATAAGAAACTCCAATACATACTTTACGCGCATACACTCCTCGAGGACTCCTCCACTTACTAAAGTTTCATTGCTGTATCTTCATTGATAAATAAAATTGGCGTGCCAATACGTATGTACCCTGAACCTCTTGTCGATTATAACAAAAAAAGGGATAAATGTTGCTCAGTAGCTTTATCATGATGAAAAACCATACCTCTTTTTTCGAGTCAATAAAAGATCTAAACCATTTGATAATAAAATGCGAGAAAAATAATAATTGTATATAATCGTATATCACACGGGTGATCTCCGAAACGGCTTGTGTGTGCAGGAGTAATAAAAGTGATTTATGTATCGACGAAGTTGCGGGCAACCGCTAGTGTATCATGTTATAATGCTTGATAGGAAACAGTTTAATAGGGATAGTTTCTGTTCTCTTAAGTACATTCAAAAGCAATAAGCAACTCAGCCTTTTCCTTAATTTAAGGTAAAAAAGTTTAATAGTTTTGTGTCACAAATACGTCTCCTGCTAATGTTTTTTTACAGGCGCTTTATTAAAAATATATTATCATATATACATCGTATTCGGAAAAGACATGTATAACGGTATGCGATATACTACAGATTTCTTAGCAGATTTAATTCAAATATAATTTAAATTGGAAAGTATTCATAACATCCATTTCAGTCCTATTATCACGAAGAATCTGTTAGAATGACATTTCATTATAAGATCGAATGTTATCTAGTCCTTTTTAATTATCATACAGTTCAAGTTCTGATTAAAATCATATCGACAACCACTTTTGTATAAATATGAGATACAATATTTTGGTACAAAGAGTTTCTCAAATGTCCACAATGCGTATAAGCCTACTCATTTTGGCTTTGGGCTTGGCTGTAGTGGCAGGTAAAAATAAATTGTATTCTTCTTTTTAAATATATATTTATTTGACTATACAATGAAATCCCACATCTAATGTTTTCAATGTAGAATTAAACTCAAGAATAAGCATTTATTTAATTACTTTAAGTGCGTTTTTCTTTTAATTGGTTAAACAGGGGCGCAATTTCATTGCGGTGATTCCCCGTATACGGTCTGACGACTATTAAAATGATGAGTCGATGTAAAGCAAGCGTATTTCGGGGCTCAGTTTAAGAGTATAGTGCGCGGTTAGGAACAGAAAATCTCTCGCATCTTGAGGCCAAGTTATCTAATAATAAAACTGCGCCGTTATAAATAATATAGGTAGAAACAGCTAAACACTCATTTCCGGTGTCAATATTTCACGCAAGTTCAAATAATTTGATGCGCCTCTATAGTACAAAACCAATTAAACATTTTATCGCTTCCGGTTTTTAAAATAGATAAAGATTGTCTTTCCGTACATTAATTTGTGCTTATTTTATGTTGTTTGATATAATGTGTATGATAAATTCTATGACTAATTTCTTTAATGGATGTTAGTTGGTTTGGTGCACGGTAATTAATTCCAAAACAGTAGCAACTCATGCAGGCAATAAATTCTCCCTCACAACACTGGGATTGTAGTTTTAACAGAAAAAAATGTCTTTGTCCAAGATAGATAAACAACGTACTGCAGGAAATTTTAGGAATTTAATTGTAAGCATCGAAAATTATGAAACGGTGTTATAAATTATTGCTTTTTTGCAGCTGGCCATAGGAATCCGCAAAGGATTGTTGGCGGATCGGAAACAACTATCTCAGAGTATCCGTTTAGCGTTTCTTTGCTGTATTCTTTTGACAGTACAGCTTTCATACAACTTTGCGGTGGAACTATCTTGAATAACAGATCTATTTTGAGCGCTGGTCATTGTTTCTAGTAAGTAATTTATGTGACTACACCACCACATTACCACAAGCATTTTTACAAATCTGGACAGTCCGTTTAGACCTCTGGAGCACAATGCAATGAACATATGAACGCAATCTTTACATATCATGTGTATTACTCTGCAGAGTCGGATAAAAAAGAATTAGCTTACAAAAATTTCTTTGATAAATTCATTGGGTATTTATATTTGTATGTTATGAACTTTTTTTTTGTAGCTACTTAGATTTAGAATATAGGTGGCGCAGTCGTGTTGGATCTACGTACGCCAATAGTGGGGGCGTCGTTCATAGCACTAGCCGAATCATCATTCATCCCGAGCACAGAGAAGGACGCCACGACATTGCTATTTTGCAAGTTACTTCTGCCTTCGCGTTCAATGACAACGTAAGACCTGCCAGTATTGCTGGCGTTAACTACAACCTTCGAGACAATGAAGTTGTTTGGGCTATCGGATGGGGTAACATTTATGTGAGTTTGTATTTTTAATAGTTATGTTTTTTTATTTGTATGAAATATATTCTGGTACTACAATTATAAAATAGCAATAAGCCAAAATTAATTATTGCTATTAATTTTGAAGAAATTGAAAGTTCAGTAAATTTATAGAAGTCTACTTAAAAATTGACGATTGCTATTACTATTTTTCGAATAGCACGGAGGACCAGCATCAGAGGTACTGCGTCACGTTCAGATATGGACTATAAATCAAAACAAATGCAGAGAACTTTATGCACACGTTGACGTGTACATCGAGGATTACATGTTGTGCTCCGGCTGGCTTGACGTCGGCGGCCGCGACCAGTGCAGCGGAGATTCGGGCAGCCCTCTCCTCCACAACAACGTTGTTGTTGGTGTATGTTCTGGTGGGCTTGAATGTGCTAATCCTAGATACCCTGGAATTAATACGCGTGTTTCATACTATTCTACCTGGATTCAGTCTAATGCTTAAATTTTTGTAAGATCACTGTTTTAAAATACGCAGCAATTTTTGGATTATAATTTTTGCCTTGTTATTTTAATTTAATATGACACCGCTGAATGTGGTAGCTTCAGCTTCTTAAGCATTGAAAGTGAATTTATTATAATCATTAAAATAATCGATAACACTAGTTAAAAGCGTTTTATTTTCCTTGGATGCAACAATGATTTACAGTTTTATACTATGCCCCGCAAAATTGCTTACGCAGTTTGACTGCAGGTTTGTATAACATAGCTTGTAAATTATTAAATCAGGTTATATTAATACAAATAATTTACGTTAATGGTTACAATTTATTTAACAAGTGCTTTTCTTTAAGTTATTTAAATTTAGCGAGTGTAGACTCATGTCTTATCCTCGGGTATACTATCGAGTAAGTATGGACTTTGGACATTGACCTTGCACCATTTCTATGCTTTTCATTCAGGAAACAATGGATTTTTTTGTTAATTTAACTTTCTTATTGTAATCGACACATTTTCCTATAAATTAGAAGAAACAAGTAAGTGTATCCGAAATAATAAACACGCCTATCGTGACACTTTTTATCACTTCCATGTCTTCTTGTCATCTTATATATAAAATTCTCGTGTCACAATTTTCGTTTCCATACTCCTTCGAAACGGCTTGGCCGATTCTCATGAAATTTTGTGAGCATATTGAGTAGGTCTGAGAATCGGCCAACATCTATTTTTAATCCCGCGCGGACGAAGTCGCGGGCGACAGCTAGTTAATAATATGTAATTCATTTATCATTACCGAATGATTCCTATTTATAATTATAGATTCTACCGTAAGACACCTATCAGTTATTATCTGTGACGTCAGCTTATCTTAATAAGCAGTGAAGACGATTACCTGTATTTATAAAAGTTATGCTGCCGTATATCATACAGCAGTATCTGTTAGAAATGCGGACCTTGCCTCTAGTCATTCTTCTTGCCGTTGGCATTGCGGCCGTCACAGGTATGAAATATTAAGTTTCCTAATTACTTTGAATATCAAAAAAAGAAAAATAAATCACGGATCACAGTTTACGACAATAGTAATTGATCAGTGGTCAAATAACCAAAAAATTACGATAAAACATTGAAATTAACATGTGTCTGAGACGCAGAATTATGTACATAAACTCTTTCCAATATTTGTTTTCAAACAATTGGTTTTTAACTTACTGAGTATGAACTAAATAATATATGTATTAATTCCTTTAATTTCGCAGGCCAAAAGGACTTCAATGTAATCGTAGGAGGAGTAGAAACTGTTATTGATAATCATCCATACACAGCAGCACTCTTGTACACCGCTGACTTGGCTTTCTACACTCAAAGTTGTGTTGGTGCTGTTCTTAACAGCAGAGCTGTGTTGTCCGCTGCACACTGTTTTTAGTAAGAATTTCTTGTTCACTTCCCTGTTAAAATACTGAGGTATACAATTGCTATCTTATATGTCAGCAGCACAACTTTTTATTTTTCAGTGGAGATGATACTCTCTTATGGCGGATACGGGTTGGTTCTAACTATGCCAACAGTGGTGGCATCGTCCACATCACGTCCCGTATCATTAATCATCCCGACTTCAACACTTTCTATTCCTACAATGACATAGCTCTTTTGCACTCCGCCTCGGTGTTGACCAGTAACAACGTTCGCCCCGCCAGCATCGCAGGACCCAATTATATCGTCCCAGACACACAACCACTTCTGGCTGTGGGATGGGGTAAAAGCTCAGTAAGTCGCATCATTAACTTTTACTGTAGTGCTTCATCTAAGTCTTTAAACGTGGTTATTCTTCCAAATATTAGATGGAGTAAAATATGCGAGTCTTAATTAAATAGTTTACCGTAACTCCATCTGCGCGGAATTAAAAAAAAAGAGTTAGACTATATTTTGTTCCAGACTATGATCCAAGTCTGTAATACATTTAGGCGACATCTTTACATCCGTTCTGGAGCTATCTTCTAACAAACATTCATTAATCCATACAAATATTCGCATTTATAATTTTAGTAATAAATGAGAAATCTTTCAGGCTAACGCAACGGCTTCTGAGAGGATAAGACAGATTCAAGTAAATTACATCAACATGAACACGTGCAGAAACATTTACGTTATACTTGCGATGTACCCAACAACGGACATGATGTGCTCCGGCTGGCTTGACACGTACCGAGGTAAGGAGTGTCAAGGCGAAGCTGGTGGCCCCGTGCTACACAACAACGTCATCGTCGGCGTAACATCATGGGGTCAGCAATGCGTCCTCAACCACTACCCTGGGATCAGTACTCGCATCTCCAGCTACACATCATGGATTCAAGCTAACGCGTAATATCAAGATTGTAAATAATTAAAATAAAAATGAAGTACTAAACAAGCGTAGTCTTTTTTTAATGTATAAGAAACACCTGTATAGAAGCCATAGGTGCTGAATCAAAACAATGCAAGAAATATATTCTTAGCTATTACCCTAGTATTAGTATTCTCATCCCATGAATTGTATCGTCATCATGTTAGCCTGTATTTATCTAGTGCTGGCATAGACAATTTATCTTTTACAACATTACTTCCAGTCCTATGCCGGTCTCATCTATGTCCTGTTCTACATTCGCACTTTAAGACATACTCATCTGGATTTTGGTTTTTATAATAATGGAGATAAAATGCTGTAATGATACGATAATATATGAACAAATTAAAATAATGAAGACAATAATTATTCGTGCTTTTTATTATAAATATTTATCCTCTATATTTTATTTTCCTCATTCATTATTAGTATTAAACTGACACGCATACATTTTAAAGGAATATATAAAATATTCTTCGAAAAAATTCTGATATAGAAGAATAATGATCGTTTTATATTCAATTCTCAAATTCCACTTTAACTACAATTAACTGGACCGCTTCTACTAATAAATATATTTCTAATTCTCTAGCCTATTGATATCTTGATGTTGGTATAGATTGATATCCCGAAACGCTTACTTTAGAGGAATTAATAATCACTTGTATTAGGAAGATAGTCCGATACTGCGCCGGTGTTTTGGCGCAACACTAGCCTTATTAAAATGTCAACGTTTATGTCTCCTCACTAATCAACCTCACACTTGAATTGGTAACGACATCGCGCCATTCGCTCTAAACGATTCTTACTAATAATGTCTAAAACTGGCAATCTAACATTTTTATTTCATAGGCTAGTAACCCTTGTAATGAATACTTTTTACAATAACTTCTAATCCAGTAGTAGATATCAAATTTTATCTTTAATACTGGCTTATCTCGAGATTAAACCACCAAAGGATTATTTGTTTCTATAAAAGTTGATGTCTAGAAAATCCAGTGAGCAGTTTTAGTGAGAAGAATAGAAATGCGCGCCCTAGTTACTCTTTTTGCCGTTGGCATTGTTGCCGTTGCAGGTATTTCTTGAATTAATTGCCTTACGCTTTCGCCGGTTGGTTGTAAGACGTGATATTGTGGAAAGACTGATATCTAGGTTAACAGTGACGAATAAACGCAATGTCTAAAGTGTACCTTTTTACAATTATACTAGTTGTCGCTCGCAACTCCGTGAGCGCGGAATTTAAAAAAAAAACGTAATTATTAGCCTATGTTTTCTTCCAGACTATGTTTTACATGTGTGCTAAACTTTATCAAATTAGTTTAACCGTTCCGAAGATACCTTCGAACCAACATCCATCCATTCAAACATTCGCATTTATAATATTAGTAAGATCATTAATTAGATGAATATTTATATGTATCATTAAGTGGTCTGCTGTAATTGCAATTGATGTTTCATCATTTTAAAACCACCAGAGACATCTTAATAATCAAATAATTCTTAATATCGCAGGCAACAAGGTCATTCATCCAATAGTAGGCGGAGTGGAGACTTCAATCGAAAGCCATCCATACACTGCATCACTCTTGTACAGCGCGGACTTGGCGGCATATGTTCAAACTTGTGTTGGTGCTGTTCTTAACAGCAGGACTGTGTTATCTGCAGCTCACTGTTTTATGTAGGTTTGATTTAGTAATAATTTTATTTTTTCTTTATTTATTCCTATTAATATTTTACTTGGTAAAGCTGTGATCACTCATTTATTTCAGACTTCTATGTTAAAAAAAAGTCGTATTTTTTAAATAACATTTAATTAACATTTATATTAACGCTTCGCCATATTTGAAATATTTGGGTGCAGCATTTACACGCTTAAGCGAAATAGGGACGTAAATTCATAAAAAGTTTCATATTCAATTTTTTTTCTTAAATAGTCTAAAGTGCACTATCAAGTTTTAATAGCTATTCTTTTTTCTTTGGTAGTGGTGATGCAACTTACGCGTGGAGGATTCGCTTGGGATCTGACTTCGCTAACAGCGGTGGTACAGTCTACACGACATTCCGTATCATGAATCACCCTGATTTCAATCCTTTCTACTACGAAGCTGACGTATCCCTGCTGCAGTCAGCATCAACATTCTTGTACAGTGACCGAGTACGTCCCGCCGCCATTGCTGGTCCTAACTACAACGTCGGTGACAACCAACCTCTGTTGGCTGTTGGTTGGGGTAAAAGCTCTGTAAGTACTACGTTCGAAATAAGATCTCTTTTTTATTTGCCAATTCTTTTTTTTCTTCTCTCCGTCTTCCAGTCTTGGCATTTATACCTGATTTTTTCTTTTTTCGGTAACTTATAGTAAGCATATGTCACCAATAATCAGATATAGCTTAATATTTTTAACGCTTTCATTACAATTGCAATTTCATTTTGAGTTTAATCAAAACACTATTGTATTCATCTTCATAAAATTAGTTTTTTTTAATCAGTCGTAACGTATGCACCAAAAATTACATATATATTTGAAACATTATTTTGTATCCAAATAATAACAAAGTATATTTAATTTATTATGAGCGGAAAAATACAGAGTTTTTACGATTATTAAATCTCGCACAGCATCGTAAATGTAGCACATAAATTCAGAATATTCGTTTAATTCCTAAATTGAAAAAAGTTGCCTAACTTATCCCTAATTATGTGGTTTGTGAAAGATATTGGTTAAGTTTTAACAGTGGTAGAGCCCGCTTTAACATCTTCGCACGACTTGGCCCGGCTCGCCCGGCGAAATACCACGACCACACAGAAGACAGGCGTCAAGTGGAAGCAATTCCGCGTTTCGTCTGATGAGTGGGCGTCCCGGTGGCCTAATTTAGTCCCCTTTGCCTTTCCACCCTTATTGTTATAAGGAAAGGATGGGAAGTGGAAGTGGACTTTCCGGATGAGAGGATGCATGGAAGGGGAAAATATTTTCTTTCTGTGCATCCTCTCCTCCGTCGATTAAAGGTAGGCAACGGCATATGCAATTGCGTATATCTGTGGGCAACGGTTACTTCGCTATTTCAGCGATTTCAGGTGGCCGCTCGCTCGTTTGCCACCTTCTGATATAAAAAAAATAGGTTAAGTTCTTTAATATTTTTAGGCTAACGCAACAGTTACTGAGAGATTGAGACAAATCCAAGTTAACCATATCAACTTGGCAACATGCAGAAACATCTACTGGGCCCTGTCAATGTACCCAAGTGAAGTGATGTTGTGCTCCGGTTGGCTCGACACGTACCGTGGCAAGGAGTGCCAGGGTACAACTGGAGGTCCCCTTCTACACAACAATGTAATCGTCGGTGTAACCTCATGGGGCGAGCAATGCGTTCTCAACCAGTACCCCGGTATTAGCGCTCGCATCTCAAACTACACATCATGGATTCAAGCTAACGCTTAAGATTATTTATTCTAATTAAATAAAATCGTTTTTAAAAAAGGAAATTTTTACTTATTAGGGTTCCGTAACTCCAAAGGAAAAAACGGAACCTTTATAACGGATCACTTGGCTGTCCGCCCGTCTGTCAAGAGCCTTTTATTTCTTCGATTAAGGATTGAACGACAATAGAAAATTCGTACTTAAAGTAATTAAGTTAATATGGATACGCCTACAGGATGGCGGTAAATGTCCTAGAGTTATTGAAGTAATAGCCATTGAACATGAAAGTTAAGTTAAGTTGTAAAGAAAAGTAGAGGTGGACAGGTCGAGGAAATAAACAAAACCTCTCTGAGATTAACTTTGCGAGTTTAAAACTCAAAGATTGGTGGTGTGCAATGGAGCTTGTTGCATTCAGATATCTCATCAACATTCGATTTGCAACTTAACCTTTGAGTTATTTTAGTTGCTAGGCAGGCAATTTTTGTACACCTGTTGTCAGTAATCAGGAAGATAGAATCGTATTATTTAGATTATAAAATTTTATTTATTTTATTATAGATACATGATTTCATAATCATCATAAAATAACACATTAAATGATAAATTTAAGACAGGGAATTAAGTGTTCGTAGGAAAGATAGGCATATAAATTGAGAAATAACAATTAATTATGTTACATCAATTTATTTACGAGAACATAAGTTTGTTTATGTTCTTAATGGTTTGTTTACTTATGTGTTACTTAGCCAAATAAAGTTATTGAACTAATAATAAATCTGGTTCAAATATACAACCATAAAGATTCTGATAGGGTCTGGTGTTTATTAAGTCAAAGTTATAGGAAGGAATAAAACTAATAAATTAAAAAACTGGTTTAATTTAAATTTTGTTTACAACAGATAAAATTTTGTTTTAGCTCAAGAAAGTAAGTTTCAACAATTACAATCAAAGCATTATACCAGTCACAAACAATTTTTACAAAAAAAGAAATCATTTTTTTAGTTTACCATTATATATTGTAACGATTCCCAATACGCTAAAGTATTGTTATAACAGCAATCGAATCTACAACCGAGTGATATCGATAGTCCGTAGGTACTCCTAACTGTTAAGGATTTTTAGACAAAAGCCGGAATCGTACCAATGTTAAACAGTCGCTTTAGAGCGAGACAAATGTATGGGAATACATGAGAGCGCTATACAGTTTGTACAATTCCGGCTTAAGTCTAAATGAATCCTTAGAATATTGGCGCTTCAGAATTGAATTGGTTTTGTTTTGGTAGTTATACAACAAAACGTAAGTTTTTAAGACCAGAATTCACTCATTATCTTTGACAAAACAGAGATAAAACGATTTAGCTTAAGATTTTTGGTCACAGAAACTAGAACACGGTGAGTAACTGTTAAAAATCAATGTGTCACAACTAATTAATATTTGTCATAGAAGAGATACGTTTCGGTAGCACCTTTATTTATCATCTTATCAAAATTTCAGGTACTTGAAAAATATTTCCAATAATTGCTTCTATAAAGCTCTTGAAATTTTTATCTATAAGTGCAAATGCAATTAATATAAATTGATCGCTAGAAACAACACGCTATTGTACAGTTTCAGTTTTAAGAATCGTATAACGCAAAGATGCGTGTATTTTACAATATCATTTTCCTGATAATAGGCCTTGCATCAGTTTTGGGTGAGTTAAATTATTTATTACTTCGCATATTAATAATTTACGACTTATCGCCGCACCATATATTAAATTAATATTTAGATAGAACACCTGCAAGATTAATCCAATATAAAAATAGCCTGTTATAAAATAAAATATAAAATCTGTGAGATCATTTAAAACGGTTATTAAATATTGCTCGCGTATCCACCCGCGCGGAATTGAAAATACACATAATTAGTAGCCTACCTGTTATTCTAGACTATGTTCTACATCTATGTCAAATTTCAGTGAGATTCGTTCAGTCGTTCTGGAGATACCTTCGAACAAACATTCATCCATCTAAACATTCGCATTTACAATATAAGTAAGAAGTAAAAAGTAAAATCATCTTGTCTATGTTTTTTTTCAGCATTTCCTGGAAAACAGCAAAGGATTATAGGTGGGTCAATAACCACTATAGATAGATACCCATTTGCGGCATCTCTCTTGTTCTCTTGGAACCTTCAGCAATATACACAATCATGTGGTGGTACTATAATTACTAATCGAGCGGTTCTTTCAGCGGCTCATTGCTTTTAGTAAGTTTGATGAATTATCAACACTTGTTAAGGAGATTTACTAGTAATTCAGTCATACAGGGATTTTGTTTATTAATCAATTTAGCTTCACAAATATGCTAACTTAGCTTTATAAAATTTTGAAATTTGTTTAGATTTATTGCTTAATAGTATCATGTGCAATAACTCTATTGCATTTGACCCCATACTTGTAGAATCCTAGGCTCAATAAGGCTATTATAATTCTGAGAAACGTGAATAATACTATTACGAGTTGGAGCTAAATTTATTGCTAATCTAACCTTAACATAAAAGCAACTGGTAGTATTATAACTCTTAAAGAAAATTCTATTTTCAGCGGTGATTCGGCGGCAAGATGGCGCATTCGTGTTGGGTCGTCGTTCGCCAACACCGGTGGCGATGTTCACAATACCGCTCAGATAATCATTCATCCTAACTTCGATTATGAACATTTCGATAGCGACTTAGCCATAATGCGCGTTGCCACTCCATTCGTGTACAACAACCGAGTGCGCGCCGGTAGCATTGCGGGCGTCAATTACAATCTTGCAGATAACCAAGCCGTTTGGGCTGTAGGATGGGGTCTAACAGCGGTCAGTAGCAGTCATAATTACCAAAGCAAAATTTTCATTTCACTTTGTCTAGGAATGTTAGAGTAATAAACAATTTAATTGTTCATTTTCAGGTAAACGGCACTACGTCTGAGCAACTACGTCACGTCCAAATTTGGTCAATCAACCAGAGTATTTGCAAGAGTCGCTACAACGAACTTGGCGAACAAATCACAGAAAACATGTTATGCTCCGGTTGGCTGAACGTGGGAGGTCGTGACCAGTGCCAGGGAGACTCCGGTGGTCCCTTACTGCACAATAACGTCGTCGTTGGCGTCTGTTCCTGGGGAGAGAAGTGCGCTCTCGCCCGCTACCCCGGCGTTAATACTCGAGTTTCACGCTTTACTTCTTGGATCCAAGCTAATGCCTAATGTGTTTTTGAACGCAATAAATTATAGAGCATATTGTTTTTCTTGAATATTCATATACGTATTTAGATACACATATGTTTACATCACAACATGTTCATCAAATCCAAAGGTTATATATAGTATGTTAGTAAAATGAATACATTTCTTTAACTTTATATAAAATAAGGTATGATGTTGTATATACAGGTTACGCTAGTTTTAAATCTGATTAGGGATCAGATCATTGACGTTGGTGGATTATCTACTTTAGGAATAATTATTACCTTACCTGTATTGTACGCCCACGATTTGCTACGTTGAACAGGCTTTGTTAGAATTATTACACGTACCTGAAATAGAAAGTAACAAAATAAGTTACAGTAAAAAAATTTTTTGGAACCAAAACTAAGAGAAAATTTTGGTGATCTACAAATTAAAATTCATAAAGGTAATAAGGAAAAATCCCTTATTCCATAATTTCCCCAGACACTTCTTGAGTAAATAGGAAGAGGTTTTACTAAGGCTACGATGAGCTTTAAATAGAAAAATAATAGCACTTCTTTGAAGTTGAGATGCATTATATCACACTGATGTTCCTGATTAGATATTATAAAATTAGAAATTGATAGAAGCTACTAGATTATATTTTATATAGATACTAATAAGACTTATTAAAGATAATTTGACACGATAAGCAAAATTATTCATTATCAAATTGTAAGTTATTGAGAAATTTTATGAACGAAAACGCCAAACGGAGTTACAATACGAAACACCAAAAGTTTGACTATTGTTTAAATTGACTGTTGTGTAAATTGGTAAAACCAGACAAAGAATAAGTAGAATAGAATAACCTATAGTTATTATAAGATATAGCGAAATAATCGTGTACACTTCGGTTTATTCTATGCCATTAAAATTGAATTGGATTATCAAATATGTAAGTAATTATCGTGTATTTGTCACGCACATTGATTGTAAAGTAATCCAATAATAATAAATATTTATTAATACAGCTGCAAACCAACTTTACAGATAACAGATATCGATTTTTTCGAGAAAATTAGAACGAAACGGATTTCGTAAAGAAAGAGTAATCTTCGCTTACAGTAGTCAAATAATCAAAAGCAGAAATACGTTTTTAATTGTTTAAGCAACATCAAAAGTTATGATTACTAGTATACATGTAATACCAAAATAATTAATACTCTTTTACTTGTTTATTTAATTAAACGAACGTTTTTCGTTGGGCCTATCGGTACACCGATCGATCGACCCAATAGGACTTTTTTTGCCATTAACATTGTCGCCCTCATATCCGGTGTACCTAAAATGCTTGCTTTACTATCTTTGTTTATATTAGCAGATATTGGTAGCGATGTTACACACATGTGTTCCTAGTAAGTATAGTGGCTACACCTCTCTTGGAGATGTTACGATATAGTTCAAAGTCAAGGTATTGCGTTAGTATCAGCGTTAGATTGTATTAGATAGAATGATTGTGTATTCGAAATAATAAAACCAGAACAAAGTACTACAGAAAGATACAAATTAGAAAATAGAAGAGCCTTGAAAACAGCCCTGACCGTACCTTACATTACTATAAAATTATCTTCAATGTCGAAACACACACGAACCTCGGCAAGTTCAAGTGAAAATCGATCCAGGTATTCAGCCGCGCCCGTTGGCGCTCTCCGCCCCGACCTAGCGTAAAGGCGGGCATCCACGGACTTAGCCGTGAAAATTACCTTTAAAAAACAACTACCCTAGTCGTAGCAAACTAATTTAAATTATTTACTTATATAGACAAGTTTTCAAAATTTATACATAATCCAGACCTACAAATTAACGTTATCCTATCGATTTCTTTATAGTAAAGAACACAACGGATGTATACAGGGATTTTTTTTACTCAATCCTCACTTAACGTCGTAAAACGCAACTATGTTGGAATGTAGAGCACTCTTATGTAATGAAATAATCATTTTCTAGACGATGAAGAATTTTATCGGTGAATTAATAATGAAAAACCTATTACGTTACAGCTCTGTTAATGTGCATGTTTGGTTTGTGTTTTAGTATGCTATGAATTATAAAGGGCTCTCATGTGAATGTCGTTCAATCGTCGCATCATCAAGGCCACGCCCTTGGACCGCTATTTTTACCTCAACGTGTGCGACCTTCCCGCAGTGTTATTAAATATTAAATCAATTTTAACACCGTGCTCAGGTAAAGTATATTCAATTTTAATAATCGATTTACATTTACGAGACACGAAAAGAGTTTTACATTTTTTTTTTTTAATACAAGTGTGTTGCACGTAAACACACTTGTTGGTAAAAGGCTATGTGCTCGATGATCGGTACACATTATTTTCTATTGAAGGAACCCAGGTTATAAAAATACCTACTACTACCTACTACTCGCATGTTTGCTTTTAGGTTTTCTAAAATGAAATTAGTGGTAGCAAAAAAGCATGTTAATAATTTGCAAAGTCCACAAAACTCATTTAAATTTCATTCGGACATTACCAAGCGTAGCGACATAGCCGGTACGCGAGATTAGCTTTTTGCTACGTGGTTATTATTTTGAAACGTTCATACCACTCCGTGCGTACTACGATGTGACGTTTTTAACATTTAATAATTTCAACTCGTGAATCGTCAGAGTAGCGTTATTCTTCTTAATTATGTTTTAACAACGACCCTCTGTGTTTGATATGTTACGTATTTCCATTTAGCTCATGTATGTTAGCTTTGTTACTCTATTTTCGGTTTTAAAATTAAATATTATATCGATTTTAAATTAGCTTTAATCAATTTCCGAATAATTTATAGTCATTGCCTAATTCAACTTTATGTTACTCAATTAGCAAATGTTTTTGACTTTTCACGTGGCGTATAATTTGGAATTATATTTAAGTGATAATAATTATTTATTACAATACGTATATATTGTTTTTTTATTTCATATTGATAAAGGGTTATTGACGATAACATAATAGCTTTTTTTTTAAATGTAGCAATATTTGTAGGTCATTGGTTACAATTGCCCCAGAAGGTGTAAAATTTTTAAGTTTTTACAAAATGGCCTAAATTTTTTTAATACCCAGAGGGGAATTTTTATTTTATTTTTCTGGTGACCCTTGTGACAACCCCTATCAACCCCCTTCCTATGTACGTAACCTTTTGGGACACCCTGTATATATATATGTAGTCTTATGATATCTTTTGATCTGATATAATGATTTTAGATAGTTTATTTTATAGTTAATTTTAATAGGAGTAATTTTGTTTTCAGTAAAACATTTTTTTTGTTGTTAATAAACTGAGAAGCGTACAATTTATAACAATTTGTTATACTTGAACGCAGAAAGATTTTTATCTGAAAATTTCTGTCCCGACTAATTTTCTGTGATAAAGAACACGGCTTTTCCTTTAGGTGTAATATTTCACTGACGTGATTAAGTACTACGTAATTTTTTTAGACGTCCACAGAAATGTTATAAACGATATTTATATAAACGTATTATTGGGGTTCCGTACCTCGTAGGTAAAAACGGAACTTTTAAAGAATCACTTTGTTGTCCGTCTGTCTGTCTGTCAAGACCCTATTTTCAAAAACGCGTGAGTCAGCGGTCGCTAGGTGGTGTGAAAAAATAAAACTTCCAAACCAACACAATAAAAAAATACAACCGTTTTGTAAATTTACGCATTTTTTTTTATTATTGTTCAACTATTGGATAGGTAAAAATTTTGTATAACATTCACAGATCGCCAACTGCCAGTAAATAATATTTATTTATTAATATGTTCATACATACAAACATACATATTATATATGTATACATGACAGACAGAAGTAAATGTTTTATTTTAAACAATGCTATTAGACTCTAATTACTATCAACGAAATGCATGTTCAAATTACATTACCATTTCATTGTGGCCGGTCTCGGTCGTATAATACCGTTGTTCTAGGAATAATTTTCTGTAATTTGGATTATTTTGCAATTTAGTTTAGTAATAAAAATACTTTTTTAAATGGAAGTTATCGCTATTTATTTAATTAAGAAAATATATTGTAATTTAGATCCATGAGGTCTAAGTCCTTTTGTCAATAGACCCTGTAGTTCCTACTATTTTATTGTTTTTGCTAAGCTTTTTCCATTTTGTTCACATAAAAAACATCTGTACATCTATGTAGAGTTATTCTATGACCATCTAAAATTCGTAAATAAACTAGCCAAGATGATTTTTTTGTTATTCCGAGTGGAAGTTACTGCGACTAACACAAACTATTTAGCTTTATATTACTATGTCTTTTTAATTTGCCTTCTAAACAAAAATTTTGCTTGTACTTGATGTTTGAATAATCTTTTTATATACATTTGACATATATTATTAAACAAAAAACGTTAAGCATGTTGTTGGGGATATGCGATTGGGATTTCCCACGTTAAGGGTTCCACCCTTCCAGGATTTACTTGTTTATAATTCAGACATAATCGGCCAAATTAGATACGAAACAAATGCATAGAATTATTGTGACTGTAAATGTTATGAATAATTTTTTTATAAGTAGAGCATGACGTAAATAACTGGAACTGTCCATCTTACTAATAATGTAAAAGCGAATATTTGGATGTACACAAGTTACAAGATATCTCCAGTACGGCTTTTTGACATAGATGTAATACATAGGCTACTATTATAAATAAGTATTATTTTTAATTTCGCGTTGACGGAGTCACGGGCAATAGCTAGTAAAAACATAAAAGCTAGAACGTTTTCGATTTTACTTTTACTTTATCGTATATACCGGTCTGTGTATTTTTCTGACATGTGACAAAAACACCCATCAGTAATACACGCTCAGTAAATAACATTGGAAAGTATTTTTATAGATGCTGTAACTAATTGATTGGATTTTATACATACTGAAGACGTTTTTGTAGATTTTGTGTGTTGTTTTATAACAGGATTAAAAGTAATCATCAAAATCGGTTTACAAGAATCTGAGAGAAAAAGAATAAATATATAACACGAATTGCGAACCAAAAATGTGA